TGAAATCTTTCAGATATCAGGACTTTTTATTCTCATTTTAGGAATGGCACAAACCATTAAGCATCTATGACAAATCGGTGCACTGAGGGCACAATTAGTTATACTGCTCCTTTAAAAAAATCCCACCTTCTACTTAAATTGAGCAAATTAGCACCCTTCAGTGAAAGAGTCTCAAATATTAAAATTTGAGCATTAAAATGTTTCCTTAAGTGGGGCGCCTGGGTGGCTCAGTTGTTAAGCGTCTGCCTTCGGCTCAGGTCATGATCTCAGGGTCGTGGGATCGAGCCCCGCGTCGGGCTCCCTGCTCCGCTGGAAGCCTGCTTCTCCCTCTCCCTCTCCCCCTGCTTGTGGTCCCTCTTTCACTGTGTCTCTCTGTCAGATTAAATAAAAATCTTAAAAAAAAAAAAAGTTTCCTTAAGTTTACAAAAATTCTTTGCTTAAAAAAATGACAGGAGGAATAAAAAAGCATTAAAACTGGATAAATGACAGCACTTAGCTTTAATAAACTAAACCCAAGACAGTGCTGTCTTGGGTTTAATACTGTCAGTATCATGAGAAAGGAAGTCTTACCCCTTTGTAATAGGTTGGTGAGATATATGAAATTAAATTGCTGAAGAAACTAAGTATTTTTAAAAGCTAAATTGTTGAACTGACATTCTTACCTGTAAAAGAGAGATTCTATTTTATTTGTATTTTTTAATTTAATTTTTTTAAAGATTTTATGTTTTTTTTTTTTAAAGGAAGGGAAAGGGTAAACCTCACTTGTACTCTCACATTTATTAAAGTTTCATCAACAGAAAAATTTAAAGCAAAGTTTAAGGTTTTTTTTTTTTAAAGCCAGTCACCAAAATGGGTCTTGAATGGCACAATCATCACCCCAATTATTACAAATCAGGTTTCAGGGAAGAAAAAAAGCTTCCCACATTTCTGCTATTCTTTAACAAAATATCTTAACACACATTTTAATTCCAAACGGGTACAGAGAAATTTGTATTTTGCTTTTCACTTCTGTCATCCAGTCAAACCATCTAATACATTTAGAAGGAGAACACTAGGAGTCCTTTAAAAATATTCTAGCTACTCAAGATGCCAGAATTAACTCTGAAAAGGAGACAAGTATTATCTTTCCTCTTCAACTGTACTACAAAGCATAGACAATTATGGAATTGTAAGATGGACCCCTACATGAGAATCATTAACCACTATTAAAAACAATGGGCCACTGTATGAGAAAAAATTGGGCTTAACATTTTTCTAAAATTGGTTAAAAAAATAAATTAGGGGTAGAAGGTGAATAAAATAAGTAAAATTGTTAAGAAAAGCTTAATTTCCATTTCCCTTAATTTCTATGAAGGAGACTACAATTTTTTTGAGGCCTAAATCCTAATTTTAGTTGAAGCTGTGTGAAGCCAACTCTTTTGATGAAGATGACAAGCAAATTCATAGCTCAAGTGCCAGCCTCATTCTCAGCTCCAAATTTCCAATTAAAATATTTCTGTTAAATTGATATACATGCCCCAAACAAACTGCTTTAATGAAACTATTTATTTTAATGGCACCCCTCTTCTCCTGGATCCCTTGAAAATGTCTCATTCTTTACATCCCACTGCTGTCCTGTTTAGACCAGTATTTTCATAATTTCCCTCCTTAAATAGCTCAAGTGTGCCTTGCTGCTCTTCTTGTACCAGTCCTTCTGTTCTTTGCTAAAATTCCTTTCATTATGCCACTCCCAGAATTAAGAATCCATACATTTCTTACTGCATACCGGATTAAGTCCAAATCCCTATATCTAGAATTAAAAACCCTCCATTATCTGACTGCCTATCTAGTCAAATCTATCCTCTCACTACCCCAGCAACCTCCGCATTGTCATATCCACACAACTAATCTATTCTCTAACCATAAAATCCAATGTGAGTTTTACATATTAGGTAAAGCTTTCCCTTTCCCCAGCTCACTAAACTACTCAGCTCCATTTTCTCAATTCCTTATTAATTCTATCACAGGACACTTGATTATATACTTACTTTTACCCAGAATTGAGCTGTCAGTCATCTCTTAAAACTCCAAGTTCTTTTTCCCTCAAGAACACCTGACCTTTACTAAAAAGGCAGCAGATGCTTAACAGTTTTACTTCAGGCAGAAGCGAATTTTGATTGGGTTAACTATTAGGGTTACTTATAACAAAATTCAGCCAATTATATTTTCTTTCCTAACGTTCTTTTACTCCAGTCCTCTACAATGGAAGAGACATTAATCTATAGTGGAAAATTAAGCTGCTATAAACTTTTTAGCAAACTAATATGTGTCTGAGACACTGAAGTACAGCGTGCTTTTTAAAAACTCAATCAAAACATATACAGCATAGTGTATGTATGCAATGAGCAATGGACTGGGACCTGTAAATCTGATTCCTGGCTACATGGTCTTCTAGGCCTCAGTTTTTAATTTCTACAAAGGTATGAGTACTCCAATCCTTGCAAAATGATTACAAGTAGTACCTTTGAAAATATGTCAAAGATCTGGCGGGAGGGTGGTAAGATTCTAAAATGCTATAAAAATAAGAACTATTAGTATTAGTCCTGTTTCTTTGATGTGTTCTGCAGTCTCTAGGAAATTACCCTCTAAGTCTAGGTATCTTTACAGTAAGATGGGGTTAATATGTACTTATTTATTCCAGAGATAAAGCAAATGAAATCTGACCTGTCAATGAAACCTCAAAAACATCATTTGAAAATCCTGTTTTGAGCCTCTCTAAATGGTCATTACACTTAGATACAAAGATAACACAACTGTAGTCTATAAAAATTTTTAAAAACTGCTGGTTTGTGGTTAGCAGATAAGAAATCAAAGTAGTTTAAAAACCAAAAGCACTAGTGAATATTAAATTGTTGTAAGAAACAATTTAAAAAAAGAAAAAGTACACCCTCAGAAAAGCTTCTGGCATTCTTCTAATTCTTTAACCAATTACAAAAAGACAATTACCTCAACCTACAAAAGAAAAAAAAAGATGTAACAGGTAAGGGTAGGCGTATTCATTATTCAATCTGCTGAGTTTATTTACACTAAAATACACTTAGGTATCACGTGTCAAAAATATAGCCATGATAATAACCACTGTAAGGGGGGGATGGAGAACCCTTCTATTAACATAGAATGTTAATGCCTACATATATTTTAGCATAAAATTGGGTGGGAATCTTACATTGCTTTCTCAGGTGGGTAGGGTGACAGTTATCTAGAACTTATTCCATTCCTCGACTTGGTAAAAACTTAAAGGAAAACAACGTCCCAAATAGTAGTCCTCTTCACTTTCCCACAAACCAAATCAAAACAAACATTAGCAAAAAAATAAATTTCTGTACTGAAATCAATGGATGGAAAGATTAATGGGTAGCAAAATTACTTCCCATAACTACCTAACATGATCAAAATGAGCAGCTTACAATTACCACCAAATGTTTTTATTATAAGATTTTTAAAAAGTTTTGTTGGGACAATCAGTGTCTTATCCTAATAAAGCAGGTTCAACTACTCACTCATAGCTGTGATCGAGATTTTATTTTAAAAATCTAATCTTAAAGGCATTAAAAAGTAGTTTTGTTTCTAACCTATTTAAAATCTTTTTCCTCACAAAGAACAAAAGCCTAAATTGACCTTCTGATTTAACTGGTTCCAAGTACTTATACTATGGGCTTCTAAAAAAGACAAAATTCATTCCATCTAGCATACACCTTAAGTGTTTTTATGCGTTTCCCCTAGTGACTAGAATACCAACACAACAGCAAGAACACGCTGCCTGGGGATTTTCTTTCCAGGGTTTCACACTAACCCACTTCCACCAATTACCACTGAGGATAACTTCGGAAGCAGAACTCAAACTATCAATGTTCTACTACATCTAGGCTAAGGATAAGGTATCTTTGTGATCTTTACATTCATTGACCCCAAATAATGGAAATCCTTGAGCCCTCTTTGGAGGGGGATGGGGTGAGAAGAGAAATGGGAGGGGGATCTGTAATTTTCAGGTAGCGTTTTGAGTTACGGAATAGTGTAAAACTGACTAGCTATTTTTAAAATACTGAGCCACAAAATTTGTTCAGTTATGTAAGATTAAGATTTTTTTGTTTACCGTAAAAACCTGTAAAGAAGTGGTTTTTAGATGAAAGCTCACAGGAAGGAAAGCATTAGAAGTTGAGATATAAAGAGAGAAAAAACCCAACATCATCAAGGAATTAGAAAAATCAGGCGTTATTAGCATTTCCACATTCATTTTGAAGTGAAAAGAAAGTAGAAGGGACATTAAGGGAAAAGGACTCCTTGCGTGGTTTTCCCCTCACAGCTCTCGTCTTAAGAACGCTTAAGGGTCGGTGCGGTCGTTGACTAACCACTTCATTAGGCTCGTCCCACCTTCAACCTCAAGGCTTTCGCCTTTATAGACGCAACGCCGCCGGTTCCAACAGAGACGCGGCCGCTCACTGCAATAGAGAGCCAAGGAGACACAGGCCCCAGCTAGTCCCACGCCAGCTTCTCCCCGCCCGGACAACAGCCCCGCGCAGTTTCGACCCCGAGACCCTCTACGATGCTCGGGGTCGCCAGAAATGCCACCGCAGGAAGCACCTACCACTATCCGGCCGGAGGGGAACTCCCTGCCGTCTCCTCCCGCCCCACCGCGACGGGGACCCACTCCTCGGAACAGAGATAAGGAAGCCTCAGGGGTGGGGAGAAGGGAGGGCGCACTGCGGGGGGAAATCGGACCCAGGAGTCCAGGTATCAGTCAATCTCCAAAAAACGGGGAGAGGGGTTATCCGCGGTGTTTGGGGAAAGAGTGGAACCCAGAAGCCATCTTGGTATGTGAGGAAACAACCGCGATGGCTCCAGAGGCTGCTCCCCGCGGGCCCCCACAGGACTCCCCGCAACCCCGCCCGACCGCGCTCGTCCCCGTGAAACCCCGAGCATCGGGCCGCCGCCGAAGACGGCTCCCGCGGCTTTGTACTCACTCTGCCCTCGAAGTTGTTCTCCTCTACATCACTCATGTCGGCCAGGCGCTCCCCAGAACTAAATAAGAGACAAGTTTCGGCTTGAGGGCCGATAGCCTAATCAACCGCTGACTGGACCGTGGGGAGGAGGAAAGAGTCGGCAACAACGGCCGCTCCACTCCACTCCCACTCGGTCACAGGCTCCGGCAAAATGGCGCCGGCCCCGCCAGAAACCTTCTGGCCTCCCAGTGCGCGACGTAAGGGGGCGGGACGTCTCTGCGACGTCACTAGCCCCGCCTCCCGCGAGGCTTTGTGGTGGTCCCGGCCTAGCAGGGGGGATGACCGGTGTTGGGAGTCTCGTCGCGTTGGAACAGAATCCCTAGCAGAGTGACCTCCAACCTTAGGATCCCTTTCTAACACGTAGTTCTTTTTGAAGATCTTGAGTAACCAGATGAGCTTTTATTGACCTTGGCCCTTTTAAATATTTTCCAAATGGATTCTGATGGAACAGAAAAAACTGGAAGCATATACATTATAAAATTAATGTGTTCTTATTTTTGGGTATTTTCAGCAGTCTATTACTTTTCTTCAACCGTTGCCCTTTATAATGCTATCAACATAATACATCAACTGGGGGGTGTATAATGAAAAGTCACAGTTCCTTGCCTCACTCCTGTCTCCAGTCCCTCCACCCAGAGGCAGCGGTATCAATTTCATTTTTCAAATGTATTTACTTTTTTTAAGATTTTAAAAATTTTATTTACTTGACAGAGAGAGAGAGCACAAGTAGGCAGAGCGGCAGGCAGAGGGAGAGGGAGAAGCAGGCTGTCCGCGGAGCAGGGAGCCCAATGTGGGGCTCCATCCCAGGACCCTGCGATCTTGACCCCAGCCGAAGGCAGCTGCTTAACTGACTGAGCCACCCAGGTGCCCCTTTTATCTATTTATTTTAAATATTTTATTTATTTATTTGTCAGAGAGAATGAGAGAGTGAGAGAGGCAGGCAGAGGGAGAAGCAGGGTCCCTGCTGAGTAAGGAGCCTTATATGGGACTTAATCCCAGGACCCTGGGATCATGACCTGAGCCAAAGGCAGACGCTTAACCGACTGAGCCACCCAGGCGTCCCTCATTCTTTTTTTCTTTTTAAATGCTTAGCTCCCTGGGCGCCTGGGTGGCTCAGTCGTTAAGCGTCTGCCTTTGGCTCAGGTCATGATCCCAGAGTCCTGGGATCTAGCCCGCATGGGGCTCCCTGCTCAGCGGGAGGTCTGCTTCTCCCTCTCCCACTCCCCCTGCTTGTGTTCCCTCTCTTGCTATGTCTCTCTCTGTCAAATAAACAAATAAAATCTTAAAAAAAAAAAAAATACTGGGGCACCTGGCTGGCTCAGTCGTTAAGCGTCTGCCTTCGGCTCAGGTCATGATCCCAGGGTCCTGGGATCGAGCCCCGCATCGGGCTCCCTGC